CACTGCAGAGTGGTGGGGGGCGGCCCGAGGGGCTGGGAGAGGGTCTGGCCCTCGCTGCGCCTGGGCTGGGACTGGTCCCGCCGGCGCAGGGTAGCCGGAAACTCTCCGCACACTCACCGGACCTGGGCTAGGACTGCCAAAACAAAAATTTTGAGGAATTTCCAAGAGACTTTCTGAATATCGCCTCAGCTCTCATGTACCACTGGATTAAACTCTGAGTAGTGAATAGTTGATTATAGAAATGAAGGTGGAAACCAGAGAAAATGAGTTCATAGCTGAGTGGAATAAGTGCCTGCCTGGAAAGTGCAAGGTCCTGAGCTTAATCCCTGGTACAAAATACAAAACAACAACAATAACAACAATAACAAAACAAACAAACAAAAAACCCCAGTCTGCATCAAAATGCTACAATCTATACTTTAAATCTTGGAAGAATTTACAGCATTCAGAGAAATGATTTTATCACCTGGATATTTATGAAAAAAGTCAACCTGAGAGAGACAGGAGACTAAAACAAAACCAAACAAAACCATAGCAACTTCTCTGCAGTGATCACCTTTGCTGAATACAGTAGGGGTTGGCAGCTAGAACAGGTCAGTGGAGTTTCACCAAATACCTGCAGCCGTCACATACAGACACTTATCTGGTAGGCATACTTTTCAACTTTTAGAATTGTTCTTAAGTTGCTCCATGCCTACGCACTCACCTTCTTGAATTTCTTGTAGATACCAAAGTAAATATGCTGGTGGACAAAGGCTCTTAACCTCCAAAAAGCATTCTCCCAAACAAAAATGAAGATAAGGAAGACACAGCCTAGGACACCCATGATAAGCAAGCACTTTCCAATCATATGATTTTCTAGAGAATAAATGCTGCTCTCAGTATCTGGGGAGAGAGAAGGAGAAAAAAAAAAGAATGTTATTACTTAGTGAGGAAAGACCAAGGAAATGACAAATGAAATATGGGGAAAATGAAACATTAGGCTAAACCAAGACTAGGTGTTTAGGACATAAAAAGCACTTACCCTGATGTAAAATATCATTTAGCAGTAATGCATTTTGAAGGCTAAGCCTCATTAGCAAAATGCATAGTAATAAAATAAGGCTACAAATGTTAATATATTGATATGCCTAATAATAATAATAATAATAATAATAATAAAAATTTTTAAATGTAGTTGGCTCAGAGTCTCACTACACAGCTCTGACTCCTGGTGATCCTTCTGTTTTCAGCCTCCCCAATGCTGGGATTACAAGCACACACCACCACACCCAGACTGGGTTCAGGCTTCGCATGCCTGGGGTGGGGGTGGGGCGGGTGTAGCATGTGGTGCTGGGGCTTGAACTCTGGTCCCTGCATTTGCCTAAGCTGCTGCTTAGTCCTCTGTGCTATCTCACTGGTATGATATGCCTAATAATTATTGCATGACATGAAATGTAGGCTCCAAATCCTTTCAGAGAGGTAAAATATTAAGTTGATAATTGAAAGAAAGCTTTGAAGTGCAAATACTCTTGGAAAAGAGAACATACTATGCTTTAAACAAGGTAAAATTGATCATTAACTGATACTTTGAACTTTCTTGAGAATAAACTTCAATAATAAAAGATAATTCCTATTGTAAGAAAATTATAACTCATCACCTTAAACTTTTTAGAACAGCTTTATAGTTACAGAAAAATCTGCAGAGAGCATCCGGAATTCTGTACATCCTTCATTCAGTGTCCCTGTGTCAGTCTGGTGGATGTTATCATGATTTAATATTAATGCCTTTTTTTAACCACAGTAGTTAATCTATATTCATATTTCTTAATTATTAAATATAATGCCCCTTTTCATGGTTAGAGTGTCACTGTTTTTATCATATTAAAAATAGGATGTAGGGCCCGGGAGATGGCTCAGTAGAATAAGCGCTTCCCTGGCAAGCGCAGGCTCCTGAGTTCAATCCCCGGTACCATGAAAAAAAAAAAAAAAGCTAGCAAACACTGCCTCAACCTGATAATAAAGGTCAATATCAACACAGGTAATTCACATTGATAGGATACATCTTTTTTTTTTTTTTTTTGTGGAACTGGGGATTGAACTCAGGCCTTTGGTCTTGCCAGGGAAGCACTTATTCTACTGAGCTTTCTCCCTGGCCCTTGTTAGCTTTCTTGTGTTTTGTTTTGTCTTGTTTTATTTTGTGTTGACTATATAGTTGTGGCTACCTTAAACTCTTGTTCCTTCTGCCTCAACCTACTAGAAAACCGAGATTATAGGTGTGTGCCACCACATCTAGCTTCGTGTGTTTTCTTTATCCTTCCTTCCTTTTTTAATTTTTATCTTTTTGAGAGGGTCTCACTATGTAGTTCAGGCTGGCCTTGAACTCATTTGTAGCTCAGGCTGGCTTCAAACTTTCAGGGATCCTCCGGCCTCTGCCTCCCGAGTGCTGGGATTAGAGGCTTGTGCTACCATGCCTGGCTATGTGTTCTGCTTCTAATCTTAAAAAATGTTTTGTCTTCTTCTCATACTGCCTTTGTATAAACCTGACTGCTCTTTCTGTTGTGCTTTGTGATTTTCACGGACCATCAAAAACAGTAATTCTATGGCATGGTGATGATGGGTTTGGGATGACTGTACGCTCAGCTTATAAAAGTTATTTACATTGGCATGGAGAAGCCGTTTTGTTATAAACGTCTTTTTCCTAGGGGTATGGGAAGCAGTGGTACTGCTGGTAGAATGGACCCAGTTTATTGGTTTGTGGCTGCATCACAAATTCAATTATGTAATTTAATAGAATGAACATGTAATTCAGTAGAATCAAAATACAAAAATCATGTGCTCACATCAACACAAGCAGTTTAAAGCATGTGATAAAACCAAACATTTATTCATGACTTAAAAAAACCACAGATGAAGTAGAAAGGGACTTGCTTAATCTGAGAAAGGTTTCTAAACAACATACTTCTGGTAAGATACTGTGGTGTTCACTCTGACACTGGAGTAAAGCTGGAGGTCTGATATCACCACTTAAATTTATAGCACCTTGGTGATGTTTCTGACAAAGCAGTCAGGCAAGGACAAGGAGTGTGTGCGTAAGGACTGGAAGAGAAACAAGTGTAATGAGCGGCTTTATTTAAGTTTTTTCTTTTTATTTATTGGACACAGGGTCTCACTCCACGGTTCAGACGCTAGTGATCCTCCTCTCAGCCTCCCCAGTGCTGGGATTACAGGTGGGGGCCACCGCGCCCAGTTTTGGTGGCCAGGTCGGCATGGGACTGGCATGGCGTGCAGTACTGGGGACTGAGCCTGGGTCCTTGCACTTACCAGGCAGGTGCTTAGACTGCCATGCTACCTCCCCAGCCCAGCAGCTGCTTTAAATATATTCACTGATATAGAAACCAGCTATGTTTAAATTATGAAAATTAAGTTAACAAGTTCAATTTACAAATATGAACCGATTTACATTTCCCCGTATCAGCAACAACAATGACACTTTAAGAAATAATACCATTTATTAAAAAGATACTTAGACTAAAGCTGAGGATAGATGACCAATGCCTCTGAACTAATCAGTACTAAACTATAAAAATAAGATGATGTAAATAAATAAATGGATGGCTGAGAGTGGATAACTGCAACGGTGTACGAAATCTCCACACGTAAAACCAAACTTATTTTAACTCTTTCAAAATCGTTCTATGGAATTAAGGAATTGCACTGTCTACAGTTAACACTGGTGACTGTATTCAGGAGGGCCAGGCTTACTAAGCAGTCGCCCTTTCCTGCACTTCCCACTCCCCACAAACAATATACTTTTTTAAAAAAGTCATGTACAAATGTACCTATGTGTGTATGTGGTGCAGGGTCCCGCTACTTGGCTGGGACTCGTAGTGATCTTGCGGTCTCAGCCTCCCCAGTTCGGGGAGCACAGGCACGCGCCACGCACCTGGTTCTGGTGGCCAGCTCGGCGTGGGGCTGGCGCAGCGTGTGGTGCCAGGGACTGAACCCAGGTCCCAGCGCTCGCGACGGGGGCTCAGACCACTGCACTAGTGCCTTAGCCCAAGCAGCAGGCTTTCAAGGCTGCTAATTTCAAGGTTGTTCAATCAGTCATAAGGAGTTTCTAAGGTTAAAAGGCAGTTTACCTTTCTTTCCTACAAATCTTTAGTACTATTTATTGCCTTTCCCATTTCTTCTATTTCTAGAGCTTTTCTCCACTATTCTATTCTTTATCATCCAAGTTCCTACTTCCTACTTACACCTGCCTGTTAAAAATAATTGTGTCCCTCTCTGTGGCAGGTACTATATTAGACACCGGAGATAGATTTGATGTGTTCCTTCAAGTAATGTTTGGGCAGGTGATTGTGTGTGATTATTGGCGGTAGTGACAGTATTACAAAGGAAGTAGAATAAGATTACAATACAAACCCTTTCCCTGGAAATCCTTTCTCATACCAGGAGCCCTGGTTTTGGCTAATAAAATCTATGTGACATGGAGCATTAGGCTTCAGCCTTGTGACGCCAGGGACCAGTTTCATGGAGAACAATTTTTTTGCACCAGATGGTTGGGAGATGATTTGGGGATGATTTAAGAACATTATACTTATTGTGTCCTTTATTTCTGTTATTACGTTGTAATATATAATAAATAATTCCACGGCTTGCCATAATGGAGAGTCAGTGGGAGCACAGAGGTTGACTTCCTGCAGCTAGACACTCATCTGGGTGTGGTGGGAGGCGTCCAGAATGTATTGCTTCTGTCTAATCTACTCCATAATCTGTTTTGGTTGCTGTCACTACAGAAAACTCCGCTTTGCAAAGAAAGGAATTTGGAAATGGACAAAGGCATTTCAGTGCTGTGGTAGCCTCAGAAGTTCTGCCTTGGCTTTAACCCAGAACATGTGTCAATAGGGAAGTTCTCTCAAAACATACTTTTAAGGCAAGGCCATCGTCACGTGCAATTTCAAGCAGTTGATTCTCTTCCAGCACAAAGTCGACTTAGCTGTCTTACTCACAAATGGGCCTCAGGTCCATTCCTTCCTAGTTCTGGAGTCTGAAAGCTGAGACAGGTGATAGCCAGCAGGGAGAAACAAAGCTCCAGCGCAGTCTCTTCAGAAACCCCTGCTAAGGTCTGAAAGGTAAGAACTCCATGCACACTCGTCACACCAGATTTCCACCCCCTCTGCCAACTTGAACAGAGTTCTCATTCTCTCCTGCCATGGCATGTTGAGTTTAGCAGCTTGCTGTGTCATGAGAGTAAGCAGGTTTTGTGACCCATTCTGTCACTGAAGTGTGCTGCTAATGGTAATTACTTTTCTATGAAATCTCTACAGTATCTCCTCATGCAGCTGCACAAACAAGTGTGTTAAGAGCATGTCCTGTAACGTGGACCATAATTGTAATAACATCCTGCAAAACACCGTTCAATTCAGATGACTTTTTAGCTAGCCAGCATTTCTGTATTGGTGACAGTGTGTGGATTCACATTTAGAAGTGACCTCTTTAACCAGAGCAGGGAGTCCAGAAAGCCATTCAGTTGTGGCTACAAAGTGACCAGCTGAACTTTTCTGATGCATAGTCATTCAAAGATGTGGATAGTTCTACAGCTGGCGTGTTAGCTGGCAACAAAAGCGCCCTCAAGGTGTCCTCATGCGTACCCCTGAAACACGCATCACAGAAAGTGCAGTTGACAGAAGTGTGCAGTGCGGAAGAGACAAGGACAGAGGTGGCCGTTGCTTTGTTGGCCACACTGTTGGACTTGCAAGCTGGATTGCATACCGTGGTGAATCCTCTCTGACAACCGTGCCTTGATTTCCTCTTCTATTTCACCAAGTATCTAGTTAGGGCGCTGGTTGAAAGAGGAATACCTGCATTATTGAACTACAGTCTTTCCAAAAGTTCACAACAGGGGCTGGCGAGATGGCTCAGTGGTCTAAAGCACCTACTTGGAACAAGCTTGGCAAAGCATGGGGACCGCGGTTCGATTCCCCAGCACCACATGCCAGCCAGCCCCGCCCCCTGGTGGGCTGAGCTGGCCACACACACACACACACACACACACACACACACACACAATAAATAAATGTTTAAAAAAATTAAAAAAAAAAGTTCACAACAGATGTCCCCAGCAGGATCAGTTCTCACCAATAGTGGAAGGCTTCTTAGCAGCAGCAATGTAGTTAGCCACTAATAATGCTATTAGGGCAAATGTATTTTAAGGAAGTGGCAGCTTCAGTACTGCTTCTGTTCTCTATTTTTTATTTTTATTATTTATTTACTTATTTATTTATTTTTGCAGAACTGGGGATTGAACTCAGGCCCTTGTGCTTGCCAGGCACGTGCTTATTCTGCTGAGCCATCTCCCGGCCCCTGTTCTCTATTTTTTAACACTGGATGCTTCATCTCTATGTAGTTAACAGTTTTGGAGGATTCGCAGCTTTCTTGGGTAGCTGATTGCTACACATTATGCCAAGTGAGCTTGAAGAAACTGAATGACCTACAGAAATGGACCTGTAATTTGAATAGGCCTCTTCGGGGCCAGGGAGATGGCTCAGCAGAACAAGCGCTTGCCTGGCAAGTGCAGGGTCCTGAGTTCGACCCCGGAAGACTCTTCCTGTTCTTTTCAGTGCAGCTCCCTTTTGTTGGCAGTCGTAGTTTCCTGCCATCCTCTCCTTCAGTCATTCCTTTTTTCAAAGAGGCTCTCTGTGCCGTTTGCTTTATAGCTCATTTTGACTGGGATTAGCTCATGGGTTTACAAAAAGTGCAGCTGACAGAAGTGTGCAGTGCAGAAAAGAGACAAGGATGGAGGTGGCTGAGAAAATAATGGGCAGGCCACACGTGTCCTAAAATAACTGTCAGATTCTGATTTAAAGCTCACAAGATGCAGCTGTGAAATCGAGGAGCATCGACTCACTTGCTGTTCTAAAGCCTGACATGAAATGTGGCTTCACTGCTGTGGGCCATTTACTGATAGGATTTTGACATGAATCTGGAAGCAGCCCATTTATTACGGTCTCTGGCAGTCAAACTCCTCTGCTAATGGCGATCTGCACTTGTCGCTCCCTGTGACTGCTTCGGCTCCACCTACACCATCAGGCGTTAGAGTCTCATGTGGAGGGTGTGGCGCAGACTTGTTGCATGCACTGTCCACAGGAGGGTTCGGGCTCTCACGACAATCTAATGCCTCCACTGAGCTGAGGAGGGGTGGCACTCAGGCAGCAAGGCAAGCGATGGGGAGCCACCGTAAACACAGAGGAAGGGTCCTGGGCTCGCTTACCACTCACCTCTTGCTGTGTGGCTCTGTTTCTTAGGGCCATGAATGATGGGGTTGGGGGCCATGGCATAGGGTGCAAAGTTAGTTTCTTGAAAATGAGTATAAAATTAGAAAAGCTGAGGTTGTTATGGACATTTAAAATAACACATGCAAAACTAATAGATGGCTGATTATCATTCTACAGCTAACAACTACTTTAAACTTACCCTGGACATGCTTTGGAGGCTTTCCAATGTTTAGAAACGCTTTACCCAGTCCTGCAAAAGGACCTACATTAGAGAGCACATGTTCTCATCTGAGAGATGAGGCTGGCCCACCTTCTGCGGTCTGGGCCTGGATCTCACGGCCTAGCGCGAGCTCCTCGAGGTACTTACTTTCTTTACTGCAGTTCAGGAGGTGTTGCGTCGTCTTCTGGGCGCACAGCATCTTCACTCTGTAGACCCCAGTATAGTCACTGAGGCACTTCACAAGGTTGTAGTTGGGGAAGAGCAGCAGCGTGCTGCTCAGCAAGGCTTGCGTGGTGTTGGACATGGAGGTTTGCGTTTCTGGAAGGACAGTAAGGGGAGTTACATAATAAATAAACTACTCTGAAGGGAAGAAACCCCCTACTAATGATCAAACCAATCTCAGGCAATTAAAAACCAGATGATTATCTTTGAAGAGTAATTACTTCCCAGGGAGTTTGTTCCAGTTCACCGGTTTGTACTAACAATGTAGGATTTTGAAGTCATTTGATGAAGTCCTCGTGTTTTCTTTGTGAACAAAATTTTGACTATTAACTACTTGAATGTTACAGGAGTATAATTCATATTTTCTAATTTTTAAGTTAGACTTAGTAAATCATGTATTTCTAGAAGTGTAACAGTTTGTTCTAAGCTTTCCTAATTGTTGGCCGAAGTCTTTCATATTCTATTTCTAGTAGTGTAAGTGCACACACACACCCTGTATATCTGTTGCCTCTTTATACACTGTGGCTTTTATGATCTGCTTGTGGCGTGAAGGACTTGCAGTTCTTCAGGCGCTCTGTGCATAACCATTTTCTATTCATTCCTTTCTGCCCTTACTCATCAGCCTGCTTTCTTTAGATATGTCATGCTATTCCTTGTTGCTTTTTAAAGTTGAATGCTGGGGGCCTGGGGAGATAGCTCAGTGGAATAAGCGCTTGCCTGGCAAGGGCAAGATCCTGAGTTCAGTCCCTGGTACCATCCAAAAAAAAAAAAAAAAAAGTTGGATGCTAAGTTTAGCCCTTAAAATGTTAATAGTCCAGATTTAGTTTTTCCCAAATAAATTTTGCCACAGAATATTTATGTGACTCTTCAGTTATAAATATTTTTAAATTTCTGTGATTCTTTTGCTCATTATTTATTAAAAACTTGCTGGGTATGGTGGCGTATGCCTGTGATTCTTATACTCAGGAGGCTGAGGCCAGAGGATCACCGAGTTTGAGGCCAGCCTGGCTACACAAGTGAGTTCAAGACCAGCCTGGGCTAGACTACATAGTGAGACTGTGCCTCAAAAAATTATTAAAAAGTTTTTTTTTTTTTTGGAAAGGTCTACAAGTTGTTCAGGGTCTCACTACATAGACTAGACTTGTAGTGATTCTCCCGTTTCCAGCCTCCCAAATGCTGGAATTGCAGGCGTGTGCCACCATGTCCAGTCTCAATCTGCACTTCAGTGTGCTCCTGGGGCGGGGCCAGCATAGCATGCACAGGATCAAGCCCTCGGCCCCTGCGTCTGCCTAAGTAGGGGCTTTAGTTCGCTGAACTGTCAGACCAGCCCTATTTGGGTTTTCGAGACAGGGTCTTGCTAGACAGTTCAGACTGATGTTGAACTCACTGTGTAGCCCAGGCTAGCCTTTAACTCATGGCAATCCTCCTGCCTTAGCCTCCCAAGAGCTAGGATTACAGGTATGTGCTACCATACCCAGCTCAAAAGGTGTGTTTTAAAGTTCTCAAGAGGGCCAAGCAAATAGCTCAGCGAATTAAAGCACCTGCAAGCAGGCGCAGGGGCCAGGAGGTCCAATCCCCAGGCTTGTCATGCTAGCCCCGCCCCCAGGGTGCGCTGAGATGGCAATTGAGACTGGGCATAATGCCACGCGTCTATAATCCCAGCTCTTGGGAGGCTGTAAACAGGTGGATCACTACAAGTCTGATCTAGTAGTGAGACCCTTGAACACTCTGTAGACCCTTCCCTAAACACACGCGTGCACACACACACACACACACACACACACAAAGTTCTCAAGTGTACTGTTTTCCCAGGTATGTGTTACCACATTTTAATTTGATTGCATAATTTGTAATATGGTTATGTGCTTGTACACTAATCTCTGTGATGTATTACGTGGTCAATTTGTAGAAGCTATCATGCTTAAAGACAGGTGTCTGGAGTTCAGTGTTCTTATATGTAACCTTAAACTCAAGTTATTTAACTGCTTAATGAAAAGTGTACTGTTCAAGAAATAGTCAACTGACTGCCTTATTCTAATAGTTTTTATTATGTATACTTATAAATTATGTTGCTAAGGAAGTAAAAATCTGGAATTACAACTTCGTGCTCAGTTGAATCTGGTATCATGTTGAGAACCTCCTCATCCCTATTAGCTGTTTTAGCCTTAGACAATATTTTTCTCCTATAGACACAACCACTGCAGCTTCATTTTGTGAGTCTGTGCATAAGCTCTTTGATGCTTGCTTACTGTCTCCAAAGACACTTGATTTCGATTTATTGTTGGCCTCTGCCAATTCCATACTTCCCAGTTCATTATTTTCAACAAGTGTTGTCCACAGGGTTCGTTACACTGCTGAGACGTGGAGGACTCACAAGACCTTTCTGAAACAGTGATGCTTTCTTACCCTCCCACAGTCACTCATCTCTAGTGCCACAAGTGATGGCAATGCCTCTCGGTCAAGGTTTACAAAATCAAATGATTTTAGGTGAGTCTTCCTTATGTGACAATATGTATTTTGAAATAGGTGTGTGAAACACACACAGTTGCTTTCTTTCTATACTTTAGGGCCTTCTGTGAGCATAAATGCTCAGGAATCACCCTTAAAATTATTTTAGTCAGGTGTGCAAAGGCTCAAGTCTTGTTCAAAGGCAATATTCACGCTATAAAGGTGTACAAACAGGTACATAATAAGCCAGTGTTCGATTAATGCAGGGAATTCCTTTGTGATAGGCCAAGGGTTAAGATTAAGAGGAGGGGAGACCTGAGCCTAAGGAGCTCTGCAACAACAGAGGAGGATGAGGAATCTGACCAGCTCAGATCCATATTTATAAGGTGATTCAAAAGAAGGGTAATACAGGGCACCACAGTTCGCAAATAGTTTTCTTTGCAAATATTTGGTTCCCAACTAAGAGCACTTGGCAACATTTTGTTTTTGTTTTCAAACTTTGCATTGAGTGAGGACAGGACTGAGGCCATCTCCGCACACAAACACAAATGTGGCTCTTTTGCAAAATTGTAGGACAGATAAAGTTCATGAATTGAGGCACCACTATAATCATCATTTTAAAAATCTCTTAACGACAGTCTATTTATTAACTACATATCCAAAATTCATAATCAGAGAAGGAAAAGGAGATATAAAACTAAGATTTGCAGTATGGAGACTCCTTAGAAAAGTTGGTCTGGAAATCCCCTTTAAACCAGCTATTCCTCTACTGGGAATTTTTCCAGAGGAT